TTTGCCTTTCATTAGGCTGAGAGCAGGGACTGTCCCAAGAGCAAGTTTATTTTTTAAGATGGGATAAGAAAAGATTTTCAGTATTCTTGAGGTCTTGGCTCTGCTGTGATGAAAAATGAGTACATATGGGTTTTCCAGGATGCTTTGGTCCTCCTAGAGAGAAGGTGGGGGGAAGGTGTCTCTGTGGAGCAGAAGAATGTTCTTGCAAATACTGAGCCTACATGAAACAAAAGCTCAAGCCATTGGGAGATGGGAAGCAAGGTGTCTGAGTCCTTGGACCTAGGCAAGGCTTGAAGTGCAAACACAAGCTAGGGGAAGGGAGTGGAGTCTCCATCCCTGCCATCCATCCCAGACAGATTTGTGTGGGATGACACAAGACCCACAAGGCACATGGGTGTGTTTGGGATGGGGTGGGTGTGATTGGAATGTACTTACCCTTCACTGCTGTGAAATACAGATATGTTGATGAGAGCAGCAGGAGGAAGATTAGGAAATCGAGCTCCAATCAAATGTACCATGCGATTGGGGTAACTTCTCTGGGATGTCCTTGCTGCAATGCCCTAGGGCAAGGGAGCTTCCCTGTTTCTCCATGGGTCCAAAGCAAAGCCTGTCTTGAAAGGCAGCAGGGAAAGCGGCCAAGTCAGAACAAGTGAGCCAGCAGGTACTGAGCTAATGTCTCTGCTTCCACGTTCCCCAGGGACCAGTGTGCACCAACTTGGGTCTCAAGCCTGGCCAGCGCCTCACTGTCAAGGGGAAAATTGCACCAAATGCCAAGAGGTGAGTTGTGCTGTGCTGCCCAGGCATGGCCAGGGCACCGCACTGAGGGTCTGCAAAAGGTGGTGGCAAAAGGACTCTGTCCCTTGGGTGGAAGAGGAGAAGGGGTTAACACCAGCAGTGCTTCCAGTGAGTCATCACCTAATGCACATTGCAGACACTGTACTGCCAAGGGGCTAAGCTAAAGCAGATGTGAAGTTCCAACTGCACACGCTGGCAGTGACCACATCCTTTCTAGTGCAGGGTGAAGGAAATGGAAACTGTGTCTATACTGAGATTTGGTTTGAGACATCTGCTCCACCACATCCTCTCCCCTGCACGAAGATGGCCAGGAGTAGGAACATTTATAGTGCCCCAGTGGATTTGCCTCTCATATGGTGGTGGGGAAAGAAGGAAGAAAGGTGGTGAGCAGGCAGGTGGGCTGAAGTGGAAGTGTACCCCTAAATGTGCAGGGGCCAGGTGGCTGGGTTTCCCAGTGAAGCCTCTGCAGCAGCCCCCAGCCCTTGTGCAGGTCTGTGGCTGGGGATGGCACTTTGCAGGTAAGGTGGAGCCTGTAGCTGCTGTACCAGAACTAGTTTCCAGGAAACATGTCCCAGCTCTTCCCCGTGCCTTTGAAGTTTGATACTGTCTGAGTGAAGCCTCCCAGGGTTTCTCTTGCCAAATATGCCTCTTCTGATCTGGGTGAGAGGCCTGAAGGCAAGGTGGACACTAGGCTAGGAAACTTCCTCCCACTGCTGCTGCAGATGCTTTGGGATAGCTAATGACATGGTATTTATTTCAGCAGCCTGCAGGATGGGGAGAAAGCAGTGGCTGTCAGGCAGGATGCAGCACTAGCTAACTGTTCAGAACGGAATGGAAATCTGTGGAAAGCAACTGACTCCTTGGGAATTGGTTTGGATGTATGATAACACTGTCCAGGGCACTGTGTACTGAGCCCTTCTCTTGTTAAAAGTTTGAGGAACTGGTATCTCTTCCAGGGATGGCACTCTGGAACCTATCACCCCAGAAAAGAGCCCCTTACTGCCACAGTACCATCTTTTTAAGGAAGCTGTGTAATTTAGCAAAGGGTTTCTCTTAGGTTACCCTCATCTGGGCTTGAAGAAACAGACCAAGGGATGCTCACAGTAATGAGAAACATGCTACTATAGTATTGACTTTATTTTTTTTTTTTTAGCTGTATTGATGTCTGCTTTTTTTTTTTTTTTCTCTGCAGCTTTGTGTTGAATCTGGGCAAGGATGCTACCCTCCTTGGACTTCACTTCAATCCCCGTTTTGATGCTCATGGCGATGTGAACACCATCGTGTGCAACTCAAAGAAGGTGGAAGAGTGGGGTGCAGAGCACAGGGAAACTGTCTTTCCTTTCCAGAGAGGGGGCACAGCAGAGGTGAGGCATGCATATATTTATATATATATACAGTCTCTGTACATGCTCTGGTGAAGGGAGGGCGTTTGGCACAGGACACCCAGCTGCAAGGGCTGTCTCAGGGCTGTCTGTACAGGAGGTGGCTGGCTTCTCCTGCTTGGCCAGTGCTGCCACTCAGGGCTCTGAGCTCTGATGGAGGGTGGGGATCAAATGTTTAAGCTCCATCTGGCTCAAAGATGTTATTATTGAACAGAGCAGGGAATGGGCATCTCTTGGGAGACCAGAATAACACTCGTGCTGTTGATGAGCAGGTTATTCTACTGAGCTTGTTCACCCTGTGAAGCAGAGGATGGCACAACAGTGCTGCAGAGGCTCGAGGAAACTTTCTCTAACTTTTCCATTTGCCTTGCAGATCACTTTTGCTGTCAACCCAAATGATGTGACAGTCCACCTGCCAGGCCACCAGTTCACGTTCCCTAACCGGCTTAACCTCTCTGTCTTTGACTACCTTGATACACAAGGGGACTTCACACTCCAGTCCCTCAGCTGGGAATAACTTCCTCTGATACCTCCATCTCAAAGATACAGAAAAAGCAATCAATAAATAAGAGTTTTAGTGTACAAAGTGTCAAAATCTGATCTGTTTAATATTGCAAGTCCTCATGGGCTGGGCAGCTTGCTGGGAGTGGGTAAATAGGGGTAGCCAGTTTTGTTTGAGTACCATAAGTGGGTGCAATTGTCTCAGCCTTGGTCCTTGAAAGTCATGGATGGTGAAGAGAGTGAAGGTTAAAAGCCTGGGAAGACAGAAGGTTAAAAGTCCAAGGACAGTTGCAGAAGGAGGCATTGGGGCTAATTGTCACTCGGGGGAGAGTAAAAGCATCCTTTTAAGTGAGGTCACCTGCTCTTGAGGTCTAGACTGGCACCTTATACTGCTTGAATAAATTACCTAAACTAAGCATGCCTGGCTGACATCAGACAGCACCGAGTGGCTGTGCTAGGTGAGCCTAGTGGGGCATGGAATGAGGGCAAAGTCCTCAACTGCACTAGTTTTGGCTGCAGCCTTCTGTAGAGGCTGGTTCCACTCCTATGTCTGCTTGGCACCTCTTACTGCTGTATGGAGATGGCAGAAAAGCTGCCTTGCTGGGTGTGGCAGAGCATGTAGAGAGTTCCTCATCCAAATCCTTTCTTCCAGTAACTGCAGGAGCACAAAGTTTTGTGCTGTGGCACAGGAGGGCAGAAATGTGGAGGTGTCTGGTTTTATTCTGCCCTTTGTGCTTTGGCTGTTCCATCCAGAGCTGAGGGAGGCAGCAAGGTCCAGCTGGAGTGTGGGATTCTAAGGATAGTGTGTTCTGTGCTTTTGCTCAATTTTACTTGGCCCAAATGAACCTGAGCAGTTCTCAGTCTAAACTGTGAGGAGTCTGAGGCAGTCAGGCATGTTTGATGTTACTGTATAGCTGCCATGGGGTCTCTCTCAGTCTAATTCTGGCTTGGTGATGCTGCTGAGCATGCTGTGCTCAGTGGGTGTAGGAAAGGTGGGATCTGCCCTATCCACAGTGCACAGCAGTTACCAGGTTGGTCTGGGATGAAAGACTTGGCCACAAGCAACACAAAGCACTAACAATTTGATGTACTACAGGATTTCCTGCAGGCCTGGCTGGGCTAATTCCTCACATTAAGCAGTCCCCAGAGCAGCTGGAGAACAGGGACTTTCCCCTGCAGCAGCTGTACCTGCCATTCTTATTTCATAATTCATGAGGCTCTGCCAGGTCCTGTGTCCTGGGTACCCATGCAGAGAGAGGCTGGGCTGCTAGGAATTGTGAGTCTGAGAAGGAAGAGAGATGAGAGCTTAGCTGAAAGATGGGGCACTTGGGGTGTGCAAGCAACTTGAGGCTCTGCAGCTGGATGTCTCTTGAAGTCCTGTGTTGGTCAAAGCCCATCTGCTTTGGATGATCACATCACACTCTTTTTAGGGCTACATCTACAATCGTAAACATGACATCTAGCATTTCACCCTGTGCATAGGCATGGCAGGGGGACAGCATAGCCTGGGACTCTTCCCATGGTGTGATAAGGATGAAGCCATCCTTTCTGGAGAAGAGAAGTTCAGCAGTATGGAAATGGGTCATGCTAGGCAAGATGGTCTCAAGGCAAGAGACCTGGCTCAGTTTACCCAGTGGTGTTGACACAGTCTGGCAGACTGGGGTACATTTGTTAGGCCAGGGAATTGGGTATTGCCCTCGACCACAGCAGGGCTAGTAAGGGTGCCATGAACTTTCATGATGGATACAGAGGAGAGCTCTCTCCTTGCAGCTTCCTCTGCTGGGCTGATCTTGAAAGCTGAGCAGATGTACTGGACTCCCTGGGCTGTACTACAGGGGAATCCCGCAAGGCCTCTTAATTGCACTTGGCAATCTTTCTTTAGATTCTTCAAAGATTTTTTTGCGACGGTTTCTTGAAGAGAGTTCAGTGGTAGCTTTACCACAGGAGTACGAACCTTAGTGAGGTCTCCTGCTAGCGTGGCTGTTTCTTGCAGTGACTCACTGTTCTTGTGAAATCTATGACTCACTGTTGTCCTGACTTTGTTATGGCTTGGCCCGTTGCTAGCAAGGAGATGGGGGGTGGCAAAGGTTCCCCAGATATATAATTTAGATATATCGAAGCTGACTGCTCCCTTCCACCCACTCCCCAGCCTTGTGCAAGGTGGAGGCTGGTGTATGCAAGCTGAAGGATCTGAGGATGGAGTCAGGATCCCTGAGACAAGCACTCTCCCCACCCAGCTGAGCAGGATGAGCAGCCATGCAAAGGGGAAAGCACCGCAACAACATTGATGGAAGACACTGCACGCTGGCATGGAAGGTGACACACTTTTTATTTCTCAACATGACCCCAGCCAAAAGTCAGAGGATGGCGCTGGCCAGTTTGCGGCAGGCGTTGCTGGCCCGCAGAGGCTTGGCCACCGCCCAGTACCTCTCGAGGCTCATGGCGGTCAGGAGGAAGATTCTGGCGTGCATGGTGAGGAGGTCCAGGCTGAGCAAAAGCCTGCAACCCACATCTCCAAAGAACCAGTTGTGGGCGAAGTAGGTGCAAATCACAAAGGGGATGGTGGAAAGGTACAGGAGGTCGGCCAGGGCAAGGTTGATCATGTAGACCCCCAAAGAGCCTGCTGAGCAGCCTGCCACCCTGCCAGAGGCCACTGCCACTGTGTAGATGTTCCCCATCATCCCAGTGAGGCACATGACCAGCAGCACTGCACCCAGCAGCCCTGTGACCAGGCTGTCCCCTCCCAGGACATTGCTGTCATCACCCCCACCACTGCTTTCCTCCAAGAAACTGCCACCCTTGGGATCCTCTCTAGGACTTGGGCTGATGAGAGAAGTGTTGTAAGACATCTTTGGGTAGTTAAGCAAAAGCAAATCAAGCTCTCAGAGACCTGTTCCTTCCTCCTGCCTTCCGCCCTGGCTATACAGGACGCATCTATTCTTAACAGCAAAGCAGTCAAGGGAAGAATGGGGAGAGTTCATCAGACATAGACAGGGTGCTCCAGAAAAGACTATTCCTCACCTCCAGCTGCCCAGTCCATTTTGCTGATGTTGTCCATCACAAGTTCTGTCCTGTTGTTTTCCTTAACCATGAAAGAGCCAAAAAAGGGACACTGCCTTTTCTTTCAAGACCAATACATGCAAGATAACCTCTGCCAGCCAGGAGGAAATGTCTCTTTTCTTCACTAGCTTTGTTGCGTCTCCAGAGTTTGCTGGGCCCACAGAAACAGTGGATGAACAAGTAGATTTCTGCTCCCAAGTCTGTCAGCTCAGCTCAGACAGACTTTGGAGAGGTGAGCCCTGCCCCCCTAAACCAACCCCCTGAAAGCTGCCTTGACCACTGCATGGAGGAATGTGCCTGACTCACAGCTTCACACACCGGTGTGAATACTGTTCCAAATTTATGCTGGGCTTTTAGCCACTAGCTGAGGAACCCCGCTGGCTCCCTCCTCTTTCTGGCAGACATGCTTTCTTTCCCCATATCTTCCTTTATCTTGCTCTATCTTCCTTCTTGTTCTTGTTTCCCTTTCTTTATCCCATTTCTCCTTGTACAGTTGTCCTCATTTGAGACAGGAGACAACTGAAAAACAAGACTCCATAATATGGCAGGGAGGATGGAAAGCATCATGCTGTGGCTTTAGAAGGGAAACAAGGGCCAGCCCTGGAAGTGCAATAGGCAGGGAGCAGCCACATAACTCCCTAGCCAAGTCACCTGCTCCCTCCCAAGGACATCAGGGCCCTTTGAGGTTTGGGTGCTGTGGATGTAGTCCCCAGTTTGCAAGCAGGCCTCCAGATGGTATGACCTCTCACATTTCTGTCCTGGCCCTTTCCCACCTTTGCCCTCAGGTCAGCAGCAAGCTCCTAAAGACTGAAAGGACTGGATATTTTAGACTCGGTTCTTCCTTCCTCTCCACAAAGACCATCGTCCTCCTCTGTGCTTTCCCCCTCCTCCCCTCAAAGCCTGGGGAAGCTGCCTCCCCTCAGAGCAGGGAGCAGAAGCCCATTGTGTAGGCACCACCGCCTTCTAGCGAGGCACCACCACATGACACCACACCCGACGCCACCCTGCTTTTCCTCGCTCACATCTGAGCCTCGCTGTCTCAAGGAGGACACGGTGGAATTTGCAGAGCAGAGACAGATGTACCATACGACATGAATTCATCTGTTAGTTTAGGGTTTCAGGCCGCTCCTGCCACACTCTTTTGCATCATCAGTGTATTAGCTTCATTGTGGCTGAGTCAAATGCCTCTGCTCATATCTAGCAGTGGTAATTCAGCAGCAAACGGGAGGAGGAGGAGGCATCCCATCAGTACTCCCCTCACTGTGCAATGACCTTTGGTTTTCAGGAAAATCATGCTCCAAACTGGGAGAGATCAGCAAAATTCAGTGAAAATATACTTTTAAGTGGATATTTCCATTGCACCATGGTAGCAGGGTGAGTGATGCTCCTACTCACCCAGAAAGTTGATGCTCCCAACAGATTATGGTGGTCTTGACACAGTGTGGGGTCCCCAGAGAAGCAGAGGGGCACTGTGAATCTGCCCATTTGTCTTTGATGGGAATAGTCACAGTCCACATGCCCCAGGAAATACAATGAACAACTATGGCTTTTTGTTTGATCGTCTGTACTTTTTTCCAAGAAACAACCTCATACCTCAGCAGTTAACATGTCAGCTAATTTAGGAAGTTAAAATAAATTACAATGGTATTTTTAAATTATTTCTTTAGGAGCTAATTAAAATACTGGTTGTCTCATTAATTCCAGTTAGCTCCCCTTAACACATGAGATACCTTCTCTCACACTGCCTGTGTAAAACTGCAAACACATCAGATATTACAGTCACCAGCAGAACTCAGCTACTCCTTCCAGCATGTGAAGCACAGCTCTCCTAAGAGAGCTTTAAGAGATGAGCTTTAAGACATGAATCATGGGTTGATTTAGTATTTTAGGCTAACTCTTACTAACAGAACATGAACATACAGATATGTATGTGTGATATAAAGATAAACATATGCAATGTGCAGGTCAGAATGAAAATGCCAGGCTTTGACATACAGGGAATGAGGGAGCAGGGAGCCATGTATTAGTATATTCAGCATCAACCCTAGGCTGTAGTAGAGACAACAGATTCTGAACTCTATACATGTTATCAGCTCATCTCTGCAAGTCCCAATCCCTCTCCATTGGTCTGATAGAGACTCAAGTTCGGCAGCTAATCTTCAGTGGCATGAATATCCCTCACAGTATCTTCCCTAGGGCAGTATTCCACTTCCATCACTTTTTGTTACGTGTGTGCATGCACACATTATCCACATACCCAAATGTATATCCACATTATTTTTGAGATGATCTCTTGATCTTCTCTGAAGCATTTGGTGGAAGGTCTGTACACAAATGTAATCTGAAGAAGTTTTCAAGCCCATACATGGCAGAAGGAAACAAGGCTCACATTTGGCTGTTAGGTTACATCTTTTAAATGACCTTTTTCAACCACTGCACGAACTGATCAAATATCTAGGGGTTTCACATCTCTGTCACCAGCAGGTATGATATTTCCTGTAAAGGAACAGGCTCTTTTAGCCAGCAGCCCCTGTAACCCGCTGTGGTGCCTGGCTCCAGCCAAGCAGCTGTTTTCTTGCATCAGGTGGGTGGCTGTCTGCAGTTTCATGCAGGAGTGATACTGGATTTCATGTCCAACATAGTAAGTGCCAAAGTTTTCAAGGCCCGACTGACAGGCAAGTCCTGTCAGCATTCAGTCAGATGACAGCACTTTAACAGGGACAGGTTGTACTGAGGATTCAGATGCACAAAATCTTGCACTTGAAAAGAAGCAGCTTAATTGGGCCCTCAAAACAAAGTGGATATTTTATGGGGGCAAAAGTGCTTCAAAGTGTGCTCCAAGAGCACTGTGTTTCTCTGGTGTCAGTCTCCTCTCCTGTCCTGACAGCCACCCAATAGGACCAGGTAGAGTTGAGTCATAGTGAGATTCCTGCATGGCTTCCTAGGATTTAAACTTGAAGTAGGCTTCAACTGTAGTGAAGAGAAAAGGTGGTACATTAGGGCAATACCCTAAATGGGAGTGGCAGGAGGGGAAGGAAACAGCATCCAGGCACTTACTTGCATATTCCTGAGGTGTCATGGCCTGGTTGATGACACTAGTGAAGGCTCTGATCCACTCCAGCTGGTCAGTCTCTGTCTCGCAGGTGAAGAGGTATTCCCGGTCAGGGGTGACAATGGTGATGCCATAGTGCCAAGAGAAGTTGCCCTGTGTCCCTGAAGGCAATCCCTTCTGGACACTATATCCATTCTCTCCACTGCCCACAAATACCTCACCCTTAGCAAATGCGTCCTGCACATCAGGAGAGAAAGACAGTGACTTATGGAATCTCAGAAGAACACGAGAATCATTACAGGGCACCTAAGGACAGGAGGAGAGTGTGTGAGGATCAGGGATGTAGCAGCAAAAAGTTTTGGAGGTGGTCAGGGGATTCAGAAGAGCAGTGAGTCTGTGTTCAAAGGCAGCAGTGAAAAGGAAAAAATAAGGGCATAAATCTCAAGAGGTCTGAGAGAGGAACTGCTGCTCTCATCTCTCTGTGTCACCCTCCCATCACCACCTTTACACTGCTGCCCTCCCTGTTCCCATTGTTTGCAGGCAGTGAAACAAACACAGAAAGCATGTGATGAACTAAAAGGGGAGGAAAGGGGAAGACCTGAAGCCCATTCACAGCAGCTGGGAAACCTGCAAGCCACCCTTACTGCAGAGCACAGACTCTGTGCACTTTGACCCTGCCCTCAGCACCGCTGCCTGCAGCTGCCCGGAGGTCACATCCCCCTCTCACCAAAGGATCCTTGAAGTACATGAGCCTGCGGTGATCCAGCGTGAACCAGCGCTTCTTAAAAGCCTCTCTCTGCTGTGAAGGGAAGAGGTGACATGTGTGAGGGGACAGTGCCCTCTGCTGCGAGCAGTGCGAATGGATACTCCAAACTCATCCCAACCGCTTGAAGCAAGCCCCTGCCTTAACAGCAATCTCCTTCTCGCCCTTTCTGAGCTGAGAGTGGGGGTCAGTATCGGGTTATTCAGTCCCAGCTGCTGACCCCAGCTCCTGACATCTGGACACTAAATACCTGTAAGGTCACGCACACACAGACACATGCAGAGAGATCTGTCGCTCTGGGAGAAAGTAGGGACTCCAGCTTCATCTACTTTCATATCTGTCTTTCCCCTTCCTTTTATTCTCCCCTCCCTTGGTGCACACACACTCTTCCCACAGGTGTCTAAAGAGTCGGGGGGGAATGAGGAAAACAGCAGGAGAAAAACATTGAAGTAGGGAAAGTCGGTGGTGCTCTGGCAGGGCCTCGTTAGATTTCTTCTACCATAGCAGCTCACCTTGGGACCAGTCTTCTCCATGTATCCCTCCTTCAAAAAGTTCCTCGTCAGACGATTTTTAATCTGACAAAATGGCAAGAGTAACATTCATTTAGCTGTGCCTCTTTGCTATTCATTTCCCTCCCCCACCCTTCTGTTGCCCCAAATTCAGTCACCTTCTAAATTTACATTTCCCAAACTGCCTAGCTAGGCATCACTTCTGCCTCCAAAATGCCCAGAAACAGCAGAGAGCAGCTGTTTTCTGACCACCAAGGCCCTTTTAAAAACGCCTTCTCATCCCTCTGTCTCTACCCTGCAATTTCCACTTCCGTACCTGGGGTTATAACAGAAACTAAGGAGCTCTTTTATCATGTAAGCAGCGGGAGACTCAGGACGGAGCTCCAGTGGTGCCTTACCTCATTATCGTTGGCAATGGGAAATGCTACCTTCAGGTAATGGAACTGCACAGAGCGGATGGCGTTGAACCAGTCCACTACCTCCTGAGGATGGAACAGGACAGGACAGAAAGCTTAGCCAGAGCAACAGTGGGGCATCTAAATTCACCCAGCTGCAGCCAGCCTTGTGTTAACTACAAACACAGTCAGCTCTCCCTCCGCAGCATCTCCCTCACATGCATACAGCCAGCCAGCACGGCTGCCCCATTCCCCACATGCACAGGCAGCACATCTTCTATAGAACTCCTCCCACACAAACCAACTCAGCCAGTGCTCCTGCCCTGCTCCCTGCAGCAAAACTCTCTCACAGATACACAAACACAGAGCCAGAACCCCCACCCTATTACCTACAGCAACTCACACTCACACACCCCATCTTACCGAAGCTTCATAGTATTTAATATCAGCAGCTCCTCAAAGCACCTCAATGGCTTTGCAGTGTTTGATGCTAAAACCAGATACCTTTCCACTTTCGTGGTAGACAAATATATTCCGGGTCTTATTATCTTTGAGATAGGTGATCTGCAGGCCATTGGGGTTCCCAATCTTCTCTGGCTGGAATGTAGCATTGATGACATCTATTTTAACATTGATTTTGGGTTCTTTGGCCTGAAAACAGAATGGCATTGATCATGCATGAGCAATCCTAGACGTAAAGAGATCTGAGCTACTGATTACCCGGGGTAAGGCAGGGTCAGCGGCCTGACCCAGGTGGAGAACCTTGTACTTGGCCTTTTTAAACCTTCTGAGGTTCATATCAGCCCACTTCTGGAGCTTGTATAGGTTTCTCTGGATGGCATGTCCTGCTTCTCCCTACCCAGAGCTATTCTCTCCCTTGTGACAGCATTTTAGCTCTTGCCCCATTCATTTCAGAGAGATGAATGAGCAGGAAAGTAGCCCTCCTCAAAACCAACCAGAGAAAAGGTTTTTGCCAACTTGGCTCACAATGGGGTGAGGTTGGTTCCAGGAATCATTCAGGATTATACATCCAGGCAAATGGATAGGAGTGAAGTGAAAGATCAGCCCTTTTCTCAGTAGAGAGGGAAGCACAAAGGGAGAGCAAGAGGAAGAGTCACTCTGACAGTAGAAAGGGGACCCTTCTCCTTAGTGACATGCATTGTTCTCATCTCTGATGAACAAGACAACCTCAGAAACATGCGTAGGAAGTCAGAACATCCCTGTGACCCCTCTGCTTTGGGTGGAGTACACACTGAGGTGGGAGTTGACCACCATACTCACATCCTGCTTGGTGAAATACTTCAGACATCCCTCTCTCTCGGACAAGAGGAACTTGCGGGGTAGGAACTGCCCATTGTCTCGACCTCGCTTCCAAAGGATGCCTTCCTTCACCTCTTGGAGCAGAAAAGCCACTTATAATAGCATTCCCCACAGGCATGGTAGGCACCAGAGAGCTGCATGCAGCCTGGGGCCCAGCCACCCCTCTGGGACAAAAAACATGATAGACTATTGCTGAGAGTAAACACTTCAGATGTTTCACCTCTGACTTACAACTAAAGATGTTGTGTTCCCATGTTTGCAGTACAGATAAGCGCTCACCAAAAGACATTTCCAGACTCTTCCCACTGCCTAGTCCTGCTCCTACTACTACCTCTGACAGTGTGAGAGCTGTCCTGTGACACTAGAGTCCTGGCCCATGCAGACTCTGGTGTGGGACCAGAACTCTTCCCACTTGACTCTGCAGACTCTTGGGCTCCAATGCTCTTTTGTCAAAGGACTGGAAGTGCCATTTCAAGGACAACTGCATTGGTTAGAGGGGCTGGCATGCAGAAGGACAGATATTCCTTATTGTAGATGTCTGTCTCCACCAGATAACAAATGTCTTTGAAAAATGCCACCTGGTAACACTAGGCTTTTATGCTACCTGTGGCAGTGCCAGCCTATGTTGTCCACAATTTAACACCCCCAAAACGAAGCCCTATAATGACCACTTGGGTTCTCAGGAGTACTTGTGGGATTAACAACACTGACACCTCATGATTCTCAGAAGTTTCCAGCAAAGGCAACAAGCAAGATGTTTTGATGCTGTGTTCTGCTCTTACCATCAGAATATGGCAGCTGTTTTCCCGGCTCAGTAAATTCTTTGCGCTCATATTTGGCCCGTATCCACTGTTCTCTCAGCACTCTATGGAGAGAGGGGACAGGTAGCTCAGAAACAAACTAGAGGAATTAGAGGAACAGAGAATTGCCCTTCCCCCTTTTCTTCTGTATGCAGCAACTTACTGGCAGTCATTGTAGGTTGGCTGGTAATAGTAAATAGGGATGTGAGCTTCATATATGGCTTTAGTCACAGCATTCCCATGTTTGGCCAGAAACTGCAGAGTTAGACAGAGAGTTAGTGCCTTGCCTTTGATGCAGACTCATGTTGGACCTTTTCTTTCCTGACCCACGACAGGGTCAGATGCATATCAAACTCTAATGGAGCATTCTCTTTCCCCTCCATTGCATATCCCAGCAATCTGGCTGCAGAAAGGTGGGTCTCAAAGGTCTCATCTACTTTCAGACATTACAGTGATTGCACCTGAATCAACAGAGATAAATGTCACTTCCGTAAGGCTGGGTGTGCACACATTCAGTGGATTTGCTGCCATGCCCCACATCTCCTGGAGAGTTTAATAGCAGCTATGCAATGGCATCTGGAAGGAAATTCCAACCTCATCCAAAGAGCAACAAGACACAGATTATTTTCTTTGGATCTCCAGAAAATATTTTCAGTCCCCTGAAGATTAGTGAGTTGAGGGGGCTGTAATGGGGAGAAGTCAAGTTCTCATAAGTGTCATTTTTCCCAAGAGATTGTACTATATCTGGAAACTTTTCTTGGAGAATGGAATTGCCCAAGATTTTCCCCTTGGGCTGCTGAAATCAAGAGGAGACATTGAGGCTGGATGGTCTTGGCAAGTGGAAAATGAGTACTCTGAAGCAACAAAAACCCTAAACCTTAGTAAGATATATTGCAAGAGCTCTGCATTTGCCATAAAGTAACAGGGCATGAGGAAACACATAAAGCAAGTGTATCCTCCCTCTCTCAGTGGGTTGTGGGGAGTTAGCCCTGATTTTCATGAGTAGAAAAGAGACTGATTAAACCAGATTACATTCCAACTCTGTGAGGTCAAAGGACTAATTTTGCCCGGACACTGAGTGTATAGCCTAGTCCAAACCACCTGCCCTACCCATGGGGATAAAGATCTCACCTGCACCTGAGCGTCATCCCAGTAGTCCATCTTCAGGGATTTGACTTTGCTGATGCTAGGGATGTTGCGGTGAATTCCTGAACAGCTGAGGCATATAAAGACCCCCAAAGTAGAGGATGCCCAGTCAGGATCTGAGAATATGGAAAAGGGTATAACTAGAAGTGGGAACTATGCCTCACCTGAGAAGGTAGATCTGAGAAACAGAGAGCTAGTGACCATAGTTTCATCTGACCCAAGTAATTAACACCCAAGGCATGGATGCCTTGTAAAAAAAAAAAAAACAAAAACAAACAAACAAACAAAAAAAAAGCCACAGCTCTTGGTCCCTTGTTCCCCATTTCAATCACTTTGACCAAATTTTTAATTACCTATATCTTGAAAAACCCCAAAGTGCTCTGTGAAGTTCCTTTGTGTAAAGGATCACCCAGAGGAAAATGAAACCACCTCTGGGAAAAGACTCCAGGAGTTGTTTAGTGCATCACAGCAAACCCCTAACAGTGTTTAGCTCAGGAAGTGGAAAACAAGCTTGAATCTAAAACTCTCCTGGAATAATTAAATAGGGCAAAATTGTAGTAATTTGCCCAGTCTTAATTTGGCTTGGGTAGTACACTCCTTTTGGAGGTACAAGATGGGTGTTTTTAGCAGCACTGGTAGGACCTCAAACTGGGTACCCTTCTGAGAGGGCAAGCCCTTCAGTAAATGAAATTTCCTAGGCAACCGTGGCAGGTTGTCAGTTCAGAGCTGAGTCATGGTGGAGACAATGGCCTCCTGAATCATGCCTTCTTTCTGGAGAAGTTAGGATTTCACTGCAAGCTTTCCTGTCAGGTCCTGACTGGGCATGACCTTGATTTGCATTTGAGATTTGACATGACTACAACCCACGGTGCTGCAGCTATGGAGCCCCTGCTAATTTGGCAGTCCCACATCCCTGTCCTTCCCACCAGTGCTATGGCAGCATCTTCTCCCTCCTCCCTTGCCAACCCACTTCAAGGGAGAGGAAATGAATACCCAGAGCCATGCCTTTCTCTCCACCCCAGGTTCCTGTGCAGTCCAGATAGCCAGCACTAAGTGGCTGCTAGAGATGAGCCCCAGCTCCCTACTTCCAGCTCTTCCTCCAGCATCCTTCGGGAACTCACCTGGCTTCCCACAGTCCGCACACAAAGAGTTCTCTGCTCTTTTCCACACTTCTTTCAGGGCCTTCATGCTCCGCTCATTTCCTCCAGCCATCACCTCGGAACGGTATCCCCCCAGGCAGGGCAGGACAGGGCCAGGAGGGCAGCTGCCTGCACCTTTTGTACCTGCAGGCCAACCCACTGCCTTATCCAGGAGAGAAGGAGCCACCAGAGAGACAGACTCTGGCAGATAGAGGGAAAAGAGGAAGGCAAGAGAAGCCTAAGGTTCAGGTAAATGGAAAGAGTACAGAGACCTGTCGGTGCACCTGAGCCGGCTGAGCACAGGCAGGGGCAAAGAGGCTGGAGGCTGAAGTGCGCCCAGACTGTGCGTGAGGACTGAGGAGGAGGAGACCTGCCCCATGGGCGTGGAGGGAAGTGCAGCAACTAACCACAGAACTGGTTTTTCCACATTTCTGCTGGGGAAAGGACAGACCAGGAAAAGAGCGAAAGCAGCAAGCAAGCTGATAAAGGAAAGCTGGCTGTGGACAAGTGACTGCCAGGCTGTGACAGCACTCCTGTCAGGACTCATCACGCTCTGTGGGCTGGGGAGCCTGGCTTTGGCTGTCCCCACAATACTTCAGAAGCTTCCACCAAAGTCAGCTGGCCATCACACAAGCATTACAGCCATTTTTAAGGGGAGAACAGGGGAGCAATAAAGATCCAGGAGCTCAACCAATGTCTCTCTAAGCCATCAGAACATGGCAGTCTTGATGCCCCCATCAACCCATGCCAGTACCTCTCTCCACCACTACAGAAATTATGGCTGTCCAGCCAGATGCTGCAACTTGGACACAGCATCAGAGCCGTGATCACTCATCTCCACAATTGCCTTCCCCGGGCAAGAAGCTACGATGCTGTGCTAACGCTAAGAAACGACAGTAGCTTGAAATAAACTCAGACTCTATTGAAGAATGCTCAGTTGAAGAACTGCAGATGTGAACTGTGAGTAAGAGTGACATTTATTAAAGAGATGCAGATGCAAAACACTGCAGTATCAGTACGAGTTTCGGGCTACACTGTGAGATCGGGTGCTACACTGCCATGTTCCCCACAAAAGGCAGCGCCACAGAAGGTTTTGCTGGGAGGAAGCTGAAGGGGAACGTAACCGGAGGCTGCCATGCCTGAAGCCAGCCTCGCGCACCGAGGCCGCCCCCAGGGCCGGGAGCAGGCCCCGCTGCCGGCGGGCGGGTCCCGCTGCCCGCCCACTGCCGCGTTCCGGCGGAAGGGGCGGCGGCAGCCGCGGCAGCGTGGGGCCGCCATGGGCCGCAAGAAGAGCAAGAAAGGTCCGGGCGGCCGCGAGGGGCGGCTGGTGGTGACTTTCGACGAGGAGCGGCGGAGGTGAGGCCGGGCCCAGGGGGAGGCGGGGAAGGAAGGCACCCCGCGGTCGCTGAAAGCCGGGCGGTTCTGTGTTGGCCGCGGCAGGGAGTACCTGACCGGCTTCCACAAGCGGAAGGTGGAGCGGAGGAAGGCGGCGCTGGAGGAGATCAAACGGAAGCTGAAGGAAGAGCAGAGGAAAATGAAAGAGGAGGTGAGGAAGGGTCTCGTGTCCCCGCTGGCCAGGGCGGACAGTGAGCGGGGCAGGAGGGGCGGCAGAGGCGCCGCATGACTTGTTTCCTTGTGTCCTTCCTCAGCGGCACCAGGAGTATCTGAAGATGCTGAGCGAGAGGGAGGAGGCGCTCGGTACGTGCTGGGCCCTCGCGGGGAGGGAGGTGGGCGCCCGTGGTCCGATGCCTTGACTGCGTGTTGAGTTGGGGCAGGGACACCCGCACGCTGTCGCACAACAACAGCTGCTCGGTCCTGTCGTGTGCCCCAGGCAAGCTGGGCACCAATCCTGAGCCGTGACCCGCAGCCCTCTGTCCCAGCAGTCACAGGAGTTGTACAGAAAGGAAGGAGCAAGAGGACATCTCTGAGGTCCCCTCAGGGGGAGAAGGAGCTTGCTCTCCAGGCTTGCAGTGCCAAGCCCCTCTGCCCTTTATCCCTGCATGCCAAGGCCAGGTGTCACCGGCCCAGCATGGTGCATCAGGAACTAGTGAGTTTATCCCATGAAAAGTTGGGCACTTTGCAGTGTGGGATTTCTTGTGTTCCCAGAGGAGGCTGATGAACTGGAGCACTTGGTGACATCGCGGACAGAGTCTGTAAACATCGACCACCCAAACCACATCGTAACAGTGACCACCATCAGCGACCTGGACCTCTCGGGGGCACGCCAGCTGGGACTGACCAGCCCCATGGTAAAGCCTCTTTCTACCTCTCTATCACCTGTACACACTCCTGGGGCTGGTGAGGCAGGGCTGGTGGTTCCTGAGTATGTCCAAGGCCTTGCAGCTGGCTGGGAAAGGGATGAAAAGGGAAACTCATAACTTTTATCTTTCTCCACAATTTAAACTGGGCCTCTAAAGAGAAGGAAATGTTCTGTGTTTATAGCTCGCTTCACACCTCCCTGGAATGCTTTGCTAGTCCCGACTGACCCTGGTTAAATGAGGTGTTACTGGACTGGATGGCAACAGTGTAATACTTTAAAAGCTGATATAAGACAAACAGCAAGATTTCAGGCTTTGCTGAATGGTCTGTCCTTGACCTCTTTCCTGTGTCCTGTTCAGAAATATTACTGTTAGCATGAGGAGGCATCTTTCTCTCCATCGTCCCATGCTTGGACTGCAAATAAGGAAACCATTTCGTTCTGGTTGTGGTCACTTTTATTCTCAAAATACATTGTAACTAAGAGCTTATATTTGTTTCATAGAGACTCTCAGGTAGTGGTTGTGCTTATATTTGTAAGGTCATCTAATCTGAAAGTCCACTCAAAGAGCTCTTGATAGTAATTTAAGCAAAAGCCAAGACCTTTTGTTCATTCAAGTTTAAAGTTCAATCGCATGGCCGTTAAAATGATGCTGAAGTTTTTGGATCTTGGGGTGGATTACTGTAGGACATCACTGCAGTAGGAAACCTTGACGCTTGGACAGCAAGGGGTGTGGAGAATTAGGAAATCTTCATCTGTGACTAGTTAGTTCACAAAACAGGATGAAACCAACTAGGCAGTGGAAACACCAGAATCACAAAAGTGCTTTATTTTTAAGGGAAAAACTGATGGATCTGAAGAAGAGAAAGGGGAAGAAGTGGTGAAAAAGCCTGTGAGAACAATGCCCAAGAAGTCCAGAAACCCCTTCCTGTCTGAAAAGTATGTACGGATTCCTTCAGGCCTTTGTTGTTGGGCTCTGGAAGCCGATGGGATGTTGGGTTCCGGGAGGCGCGGGTGCTGCCAGGCCGGGGCCCGCAGGGGGCGCTGGCGGAGCGCGGCCCGCACGCCCCGCTCGGCCCGCTGCCGCCGCCCCGCTCTGCCCGGTGCCGCCGCCCCGCTCCGCCCGCTGCCGCCGCCCCGCTCCGCCCGCTGCCGCCGCCCCGCTCCGCCCGGTGCCGCCGCCCCGCTCCGCCCGCTGCTGCCGCCCGGTGCCCGCGCAGGAGGAGCGGAGCGGCGGCAGGGTGGGTGGGCTGCGGCCTCACCTCTCACCCAGCGCTGCATCGCGGCACATTGCGCAGCGTGCACAGCTTGTCTCTAGGGTTGAAGGTCAGAGGCTGCTAAAGCTGAAAGCCAAAGCGTTCTCCACATTTTTCAGTATCCAGGTTTTACAACTGCTTTGAGGGTGTGGAGAGTTGCTTTAACTCTGTGGGGTCTGGGCAGTACCATGCTCACAACATTAATTTTTGTTGTTACCGCACATGCAGGTTTCCTGCATAGCTGAGAGTCCCTCTGGGACTTGCTGTGTCTGGCATCCATTCCTGCTGGGCCACACAGAGATCTCCAGCTATTGTGGTGTCGCCTTGCTTCTGCAAGCTTTAGTCCCCAAACATTTTTCTCTTTCTGCCCTGCACAGAATCTCTTCTCTTACTGCCACACTGCACATGCACAGCCGGAAAAAGACAAAAGGAAAAAGATTCCAACGTGGGCAAGGCCCACGTAAGAAAACCCAGAAGTCCAGCACCGGACGAACCACCAAGACTCAGCGTCGGAGGCTGACTGGCAAAATGGGCCGTGACCAGGATTAACAGAGAAACTAATGTTCAGACCACCAGCTGGGACAGTGCTCCACATCTGGCCTGCTGCTCTTTGGGGCCCTGTCACTGTGGGCAAGCACCTTGTTTACATGACATTTTGACTAGCCATTACCCAGGCCAGTTCAGCCTTTCTGTAGCCTCCTGAGCACTGGCCAGGTTGACTAGACATTCTTCCCATTTATTTTTGCAGTGGTCTCCAACTAAGTGTCTGGGTACCCCAGAATCTCTTAAAAACTTCTGCTGAAGGTCATAGGTCATGTTCTCTACTTGGCGTAGCCCGTCTGTCCTTGGTGCCCTCTGTCAGAGCTGATACTTGGCTTTATCAAAGAAGAGGATCTGGGGCAGAGTGCAAGAGGCACATTGTTGTCAGGACAATTTGAGAGACTTGGGAGAGCTCTGCTTGCACTCCTGCATCAGTGCCCTGGCATTTCTGCTGTGCAGTAAATCCTTTTTCCATGGAGACACGGTGTCATCTTGTCTCCTGTGTTTTTTCACCACACAACACAGTGCCACACCTGAATGCAGGGGTACTTTTTGTTTGGTACTTGTGCCAGGTGAAATTGGGTAACTTTGTGAATAAATTTGAAGTAATTTTGCTAATAAAAAAAATCTGTGACTTATTTGAAGCATAATGGGAGCTATGCTAACGCCAGTACCAACTGGAAAGAGGGGGAGGTAATTCCTGGTGGTTGAAGGATATTGAAATCCACTGGTGCTTGGAAAATGGAATAGCTAGGAGCTATTTCTGTGGCAAGGCAGAGCCAGCTAGAGCAGGAATGGCTCATTCCATTGTCTGCTGAATATGCCGATCGTAACTGCGATAGCTCAGGGGAGTATGAAATGCCCTAATGCCCTTGCTCTGTGTGTGTGGCCCTCTCTGGGGTGGGAGTGGCCGAGGCTGCCCTTGTCCTTTACCTCAGGGTTGCTGCAGTTATTAGCAGCTAATTGCCTTTCTTCTTAAGACCTCAGTGTATGTTTTTTACTGTGGTTGCCCTCAGCAGGAGAAGAAAAAAAAATTGTATTGTTGGGATTTAGGAGTATCGGTGGTAAAACTGAGTGAATCCTCTGAGGAGAGTGAGCCCAGTGCTGGCCTCTGTCCTGGAGTATCCTGGAGTATTCTGCCTCTGTCAGCCAAGCCTCCTCCCATGCCATGTGTGCACTGAAAAGGAAATGACAAAGAAAGAAAAGGCCTATGTGTCCAAAACCCACACCAGAAAAATTTGCAACCCAGCAATGGGCAAGTAAATAGATTCCTCATGCCAGAAATGGGAGGGAAAAGAGTAAAGCAGTGCCTGAGGCTGCATGGAGGAACATCAGAACAATGCTGATGGCCACCAGTGAATGGCACCATCCTGATGTAACCCTCCATGGTTTCTTGTAGGGTGTGCACACAGAGCTGTTCTCCAGAGTGTGTTAAGGGGGAGGGTATGATCTCTACACTGACAGCAGCAGCACAATTTCTGCTAGAGGGAGACTTCTGGAGGGAACCAGGCAACGCGTGATACACGTGCCTGTGGTAAGGAATGGGGTCCTCTTGCACTTCCCTTTCCCTTCTCAAGAAGGTAATTGCTGGGGAAGCGGACATGGTTATCACTGGTGCCTTGTATGCTTGGATTCAGAGTCCCACTCTGAGATGAGTTCTTGGGCACTAGAACAGAGTAAACTCAGTCACATTATTAAGGTATGTGTGTGGTTTGCTCACCTCACCTTTTAAGACTGCCTTAAAGACCACTCCAGAAAGGTCATGGGATTTAATGGGATTTTTACCTATTCACCTGTCTCACCTGGGGCTCTTGGGTGTTTCAGAGCTGCAAAAACACAGCTCAGGCAAGGCCAAAAGTGTTATGCTGAACTGGATCTCAGCCAAAGTATCCACGAGGTCCCATGTGTGGAGCATAAATAATTTCTTGTTCTGGTTTGGGAGTTACATGCTCTAGAGCATTCTGTGCTTGGTGGGTTTGAGAGGGATGACGGAGAGAAGGAGAGGGAAGTTCTGTTTGGAGAGGGGTATTGCACCAGGGGAAGGCAGCTCAAACCTGGAGGGCAGGGTAACACCGTTTGTCTGGATCATACAGCAGCTTTCCCTTCTGTCCAGGATACTGTGCCTTGTGGAGTGACCGTGGAGAGAAGGTGACCTGTATGCTTCCTCACCCGAGGAGTTTGCTCTGGGACTGGGATGGCCACTGTAAAAGAAATGTACTATCTGTTTGAGAAATCTGCTGGAGTGTGGAGTGTTGAATGTGGATCAGTTGCCTTCCCCAGCCTGTGGGCAGCCTAGCATGGTAGCTGGGACAGAGCTGGATGACCTCATTGTATTCCAGATGAAGTGCTAAGAGTGACTTCAGTCTTTGTAATTTTGCTGCCAGGTGATCTAGAAGAATCTCACTTTTAGTTTGCTGTTTCCCTGACCTAATAACATTTTTGAGCCTTTCTCAAGTGTCAGCTGAAGTTTCCAACAGCACTTTCCATGCTCTGAAATCTTTCAGTTCCTGCTAGAAAATGAGTTTTCAAAATAAAAAAAAATAAAAAAAAAATAAAAAAAAACCACAAAAATGTGTATGGAAAAACCGAGAACAGAAGTGTTAAATCCTATACAGCGTTAACCATCAGGATTGTTCACTACACTATTGATTTCTCCATTTGATTGATTAAAGCTTTATTTTGTAATGTGAATTACCAACTCAGTCCTAGTCTGCTGTTTTTGTTATGCACAGGGTATACAGTCAGGCTACCCCTGGATATATTGAGATAAGGATATGATTTTTCCCACACAAGTCAGTAAGTGAAGTGTTTGCAGACACGTCACAGTTCATACCAGACTCTGGTTTAAAATCCTTCTTTGCTGCTTCCACATGTTTGCAAGATGGATTTGATAATTTTGGGGTTCCCCCCCCCCCCATTAGCTGCTCAGGAGGAGGCTGCTTCCAAATGCAAGGTACTTGCAAAAATCAACATGCTAGTGCAATTGCTGCTCTGTAAAGGAAAAGCAGAGACCAGCATCTCCATGTGAACCCCCTTTTCCACAGGCATTTCACGCGTGGCTCTGTAGCTAGGTCACTTCAGGCACCTGCGCCTTGCTGGGCACACGCCCCAGGCTGGCACAGAGGTGCAGGGCTTTGACATGGCCTGCCACATTGGAGTTACCATGCATGATGGCTTCCACTGGCTAGACTGCAATTATGCACACATGCACACACAAAAATATAATTGGGGTTATAGAGGATCAAAAACGGACTGTCAGCCAAAAAGATCAGACAGTTGGGGGAAAATTGGAGCACAGCAAAAAGGAGGAATGGCTGCAGTGCGTGCATGATCTGTGTGATAATCAGTGCACTGTAGTTATTGCTTTTGTCATGTATCAAGCTCAAGGCTGTACTCAGTACAGTCACACTGCTGCTTCCAGCATTGTGTTCCAGAAATGAACTCGAGGAAAAAAGTTACTGGGATAGTGATGAGAACTTTCGGGGACTAAAAGGGAGCTGATTAATGGGTTGTGTGAGGTAGGTTTGAGGAGTGGATTGCAGACTGCCCTTAATGAATGAACAAAAGGTGAATTTTTTGTAACTCACTAGCATCGGGAAGAGGAGTTTTATTTGTAGAAGGAGCAGTGGAGGACAGATGTTAAGGGCGTTCTGCTAGAAAGAGTGAGGGTGAGGCAGGGCTAGTTCTTGGTAGGTAAAGCCCGCGTTAGACAGTCTCTCTGAGCGCCGTGGGTAGGCATGACCCCCTGTTGGAGCTGTGCTGGGACGCGCTGGCGTTTTGCTCTCTCAGCGCTCGCGGATAAGTCCGCTGCTTTGGCATCTGTTTCGGCTTCGGGATAAGTAACTCTTGGGGCGCTGACTCCGAGGAGCACTGGGTAGCCCCTGGGCAGGGGGTGAGGCGGTGCCTGGGGAGCTGCGGCCGAGGGGCAGGGCTGAGGGGCAGGGCAGGGGCCGAGGGGCAGGGCTGAGGGGCAGGGCTGGGGCCGAGGGGCAGGGCTGGGAGGCAGGGATGAGGGGCAGGGCTGAGGGACAGGGCTGAGGGGCAGGGATGAGGGGCAGGGCTGAGGGGCAGCGCAGGGGCCGAGGGGCAGGGATGGGGCCGAGGGGCAGGGCTGAGGAGCAGGGATGAGGGGCAGGGCTGAGGGGCAGGGCCGAGGGGCAGGGCTGAGGAGCAGGGCTGAGGGGCAGCGCAGGGGCCGAGCCCCGGCCCGGCCGCTCGATCGCCCGCCCGCTGCTCGCGACACGAGGCAGCCCGCGCCCGGGGGCGCCAGGGCCGCGCGCCGCCGCCGGCCACTCAGGAGGCGGTATTCAAATAGCCGCCCGGCGGCAGCCAATCAGAGGGAAGGGGGCGGGGCCCCGCGCCCCGCGGTTCCCACGGCGAGCCTCATTGAGGGGGAGCTCGGCGGGCGGCGCGGCGCTGGGAGCCGTAGGGAAACTGAGGTACCGGGGATACCGGGAGGCACTGGGAGCGCTGAGCACGGCGGCTGCATGCATGCCAGAGGCCCCGGGCATCACAGCATTATCCTGGCAGTAGGCCCCAAGGGATGTGGGGAGTAATGATTTGCCCATCAGGCACTGGGGTACCAGGGATTTCGCCCACGGGTGGCAATGCATGGACAGTGGTGGGCAGCGATGTGGTGTGTTTTGTGCTGCATCCCTGGCAGGGGAGTGCTTAGGCTCCTGTCAAGTATTTTGTGTGAACAAGTCAAGCAAATATGCCCCAGTGTGAGGAAGGATGCTGCAAGTCTGGCACCAAGTGCAACTTGCTGTACTGAAAATGGGTGCACTGACAAACAAAAATTATAGCTTTGTTTTGGCATTGATGTTTGGCCTTGGTTGTTTTGGGGAGCAGCCATAGCCTTGATCAGCTGCTCTGACTCAAATGTCCATGTTTAGGGCACCAGTGGCATGTTCACATCTCAGATGCTGGTCTGATTTCCTGTCCTTCTATTGGTGTCTTGTCCGGGCAAATTAGGCAGAACCGTCCCAGCTCAGATGATATTCTCAAATCCAAGGACTCACTCTCAATCCCTGCAGGACAGAGGAATTGATGGAGGGCAGGATGCTTGCAAGAAAACAGAACAGAAATGGGGATCCCAGCTGTTCATGCTAGCAGTGCTTGTTACCCTTCAGTTTTAAAGTCCGCTGTCCTACAGGTCTCAAAATTTTAGCAGGATTAACAAGGGTCTCAGTGGGTTTCCAAATTTCTTAAGCTGCTTATAGCCATCCCTTTATGACCAACATAATTAAGAAAAAAGGTTTGGTTTTCATGTCTTTTAAGAGAGAAAAAACATTTCCATCAAACAAAGTAGCAGGACATGTGCATCATTCCCTCTGTTCACAAGGACTCCCAAACAGAGGAGTTTCAGCAGTCATTTCAGAGTGCAGTGTGCCTTCTAAAAGAGTTGTCTGCTAGAGCACTTTCTTTTATTACCTGTATTTATATGGATCACCTTGTACCTGGGTTCCCTTCGATTCCAGTATTGACAGCTGGGAGCAGCAAACTTCAGTCTGGAAATAACATTCCTGCTTTCACAGCTTCTTCTGCTGCTGTTCCTTCCTCCTTTTTCTCCTGGCTGGCCCCTGCCAGTAGCCCATCAGCCAAAGATCTTCGTCCCC